TGAGAAGTTCTTGCAGGCAGCCACAAATCATGGAATGGAGGAGCTCAGCTCCAGCAAAGTCCTTGGATAATTAATGGAGCCAACACTCTCCTTGAAGCAAGAATACTCCTTACATACCCCTGGTTACAGCTGTGTGCTTCTGCAGGACCTGGCCAGGGAAGGCACCCCCATTGTCCATGGCAGCACCATACACATAAAAGATCTTAATATTGGATCTTCTCAACTACATCAAAAGCTTCCATGGTAGAAACACTATTCACTGCCCTGGGAACCAAGGAAGGCACACTAACTGACTGGAGCCTGGTACCCCAAGACAGCCAGACCTGGCATTTCAATGACTTAGGACTGAATGGACTTGACATGTTCTAAGAAGACTGTGGCTGTGGTAGGCAAATGTGTCCACATCCTAGTCCCCAGAACCTGTGAATATGTGACCTTACAAGGCAAAGGGACTTTGCAGATGTAATTATAAGTTAAGGATTTTGAAATCCTGGATTATCGAGGTGAGTCCAATGTGATCACAGGTCCTTATACATGAAAGTGGAAGACAAAAAGTCAGAGAAGGGGAAGTGGCAATGGAAACAGAGGTCAGAAGGATGCAGCATGAAAAAAAGACATGACTGGCTAAGTGCAGCTTTGAGGACAGAAACAAAAAGCCACAAGCTGAGGAATATGAGCAGCCTCCGGAAAACAAAGAAACCGATACTTTCCTAGACCTTTCAGAAGGAAGACAGCCCTGCTGACACCTTAATTTCATCTCACTGCTGTGGATTAGATGTTCCCCCCAAGTTCACTGAAGTATGATGCCCATGGTAACAGTGTTGAGAGGGTGGGAAATCAGAGTATAGCAGTGTTGAAAGATGGGGCCTTTAAGTGGTGTTTAGATCACAACGACTATGCTCTTGTGAATGGATTAATCCATTTGTGGAGTAATGGGTTAACGGTTTAGTGGGTTGTCATGGGTGTGGACTGGTGACTTTGTAAGGGGAGCAAGTGAGCCATCCTGCCATATGTTAGCCTGCATCACCACGGGACTCTGTAGAGAGTTCGTACCCAGAAGAAGGCCTGCACCAGATGAACCCCCTGGACCGTGGACTTCCCAGCCTCCAAACTGTAAGAAATAAATTCTATTTCTTTATAAATTACCCAGTTTCAGATATTCTGTTGTAAGCAAAACAGAAAAAGGACTAATATACTCACTGAAACCCATTTTGACTTCTGACCTTCAGAACTGTAAGATGATAAATTTGTGGTGTTTGAAGCCACTAAATGCATGGTCATTTGTTATAGCAACAATAGGAAACTAAAGCAAAGGACACAGGCAATTCAGACTTACAGAACACATGACTAAAGCAGCAGAGTCCCACGTTATAAAGGGTTCCTTCTTTTAGCATTTGTTTACTGTAAAGTCATGCTTCCCAAACGCTATGCTGGAACCTGGGTAGATTTTAGAAGGTATTGGGCCAATAATGTAAAATAACTCGTATAGTTTTGTACTTACTGTGATGCACATTAGAAAATGAAAAAAAAAATGTCTTAAATGTATAATTTCAAGGATACTATTGCTAAAAATGAAGGTGACTTTAAAAAAAACAAAGCAGTTTAAACTTGATTTTAGGAAACTTCATAAGTGAGTAGTGAGTAGTAGAACATGATAAGGTGTGATTTTTGGCGAGGCGCCGGCTGATGCTGAGATGCCTCTGGTGTGTGGCTCATTTTCCAAGCTGATACTGCGGACTTCCCAGCACTATTCTTTCGATAAATTCCACTTCTGCTCAAATAAGAATCGTCACTTTTTGACAAATTTAAGGACACTCACTGATATATGTGGCAGCACAAAGTTTCCCTTTTAATCAGCTGACTTAAGTTAAATTTAAAAAGCAAGGCAAAATTTGAAGATTAGGGAGGTAATAAACAGCTAAGGAAGTGCCAGTTTAAACTATTTGTCACTTACATCCCTCCAGTATATGGCCTCAGCTAGTATGTCCCTGCAACTTTGTTCTGCATCAGCTCCAGCTGAACCTCATCCCTCCTTCTTCTCTTCACATGTTCTCCTGAGCTCACAGGCTGACCACTGGAAGTGCCTCCTTCTGTGCCCACGTGTTATCATTCTCTATTTCTGCATATTCAGTTCTTTCCTCCTATCCCTCAAGGAGTGTTCGGAGGCAACAGCTACTTAAAGCCTTTTCTCCCTTGGAACAGCTGGCCAGGTGTGGTGGGCAGTCTTCCTAAATAGATCCCAATGGTCCCCACCTCCTGCTATTCACATTCCTGTATAACGTCCTCCTCCCAGGTGTGGCTCAGACTTAGTGACTTTCTTCTAACACACAGAGTACAGCAAGAGTGTTCAATGTCATTCACAAGATGAGGTCATAGAACACTGTGATCTCCATGTGCTGGTACTCTCTCTCTCTCTCTGGCTCTTTTCATGTGCTTGCGCTGATGGAGAGGGACACCAGGCAAGGAACTGAGAACCTCTGTCCATAGTCCTCAAGGAACTAAATCCTGCCAAAACCCCATAAGCTTGGAAGAGAATTCATCTCCCCAGGTAAGCCTTTGGATGACCACAGATTCGGGCCAACACCTTAACTGCAGCCTCATAGGGGACCCTGAAGCAGAGAATACCGACTGGTAAGATGTGCCTGGATCCCTGACGCCTAGAAGCTATAAGATAATAAATTGTGTACTGATTTTAACTTCTAAGTTTTGGGGTCCTTTTTACACAGCAGTAGCTAACAAGGACACGGGCCTTTGCTGTCTAGGCGTTAGGAAGTAAGCCCTCCCGTCTTCCACATCATCTAATGCCCTCACTGGGAGTTGCATCCTATCTGGTCCCAGGTGCTCCACACTGTTCAGAGTCCTTGTAGACAAGGTCTGGATCTGATGCAATGGATATGTGCATGGCACAGAGTGTGGATCTCACAATGCTTTCTCAGGGTTAAAGGGAGGAAGTGAGTGAGCAGAACACCCATCAGTGATGAGCTGGTGAATAGGCTCTCCAACAACAAAAAGCCCTGACTTGTGTCTGCCAATTTCCATGATGTAAATACTGTGGCCACGGTTCCAGCTATGATGAGGTCACAGCTCTTACAAGCTGGTATGAATTGGTTTCAGCACACCAATGACACCAGTTCTGCCATAACAACTCCTCTGAAAAGGCACGGATTACCTTCTAAGATATCACATTAGGAAAACTGAGAGTGTGGCAGGCATAGCCAAGCCCCCCACCCCCACCCAGCAGTGGCCAGCCCAGTTGTAATCCTGATAGTAAACAACTCTGGGATTCAAAAGAGAACACATACTGGGCTCGAATCACAGCATGCTCTGCTGAAACATTCAGAATTACTAACCAAGGAGAATCATGCACCGTGTTTACCCTCTCAGCAGACATGACTGGGCTCTAAGTGGTGTTCCTATAAGCCTCAGCACAAAAAGGGTTGCAGCCAGGACTCTTCAGAACTTGCTACTGCCAGGCTTAGCGCTCTCACCCTCACTTTTTTTCTCATTCTGTTCTGACATGAGGAACTATTTACATACATAAATTCACTGTTAATTAAAACATTCACTGTTATTTGCATAATCAACACAAATCTCATGCGTGATTAGATTTTATGTACATTTGATTCAGAAAGTTTAATTTGGCCTTTGATCTCTTGCTTATAACGAGGAATCCATGCCCCCTTTTTTTTTTTTTTTTCTGATCAAGTTCAGAGATTCAGATGCCCAACCTCAACCAAGCTCACCCCCCAGATGTACTAAAAATCCTTCTTGGGGTAATGATGGTGAAGGTTGTTGTTGAAATCAGCAAACTGTTCAGGATGCCAGATGTTTTTCTGGTTACACATTAAAGGAAGGCCTGAGGAAGGGCTTTTATGGATAAAAGAATATCGTGTTTCTAAATAAAGTGGAGAATTTGCAGAATTTTTCATGGTAGCCTTGTAGCATTACTTAAGAAAATGTGTTCAATAATAGAACATTTCTTCACTTAATACTAATCCCTTTAGGAAAATACACTGACAGAATGTATCAAAAACCCTAAAAAATGATCTTACTTTCTGATTCTAAGAAGCCACCTTAAGGAAAAGAGAAGTGGATGAAGATTTATGTGGAAGGTGGTTTACTGCTGCATTATAAGAATACAACTTGGAAACAACCTAAATGCGCATAAATACAGACATGGTTATTTATATGATCTCAAATCCAAGAGATGAAATATTTTGAAGCCATTAAAAACATTTTAAAGGAATATTTAATATCAAGAGAAAACGTTTCCAATATAAGTGAAAATAAGTGTCTGAAAAATCTGTATGTATGATACCAACTGTGTAAAATAAATCTACTATACATTTACTATACACCAATGTTATATATGTATAAAATACTGGAAGAAAATGAACCAACACATTAGCAGTGGGTTATCCTTGGGTAGTAGGGATATCGATATATGATTTAAGGCTTCTTTTTTCCCCTCCTAGAACTGTTTTCCAAACATTCTAAAATGAGTATATATTGCTTTTATGATCGGAACACAATTATTTTAAATAATAACCCGGGATGTCTATAGAGAATCACACATAGCACATTCTTATCTATTATAGCCAGCAATTGCTGACTCCTTTTTTAAAAATTCCTTCTCACGGAAGACTAAATGTAACCCTTTGTGCAAAGGATAAGTGCTTTGTAAGAAAGCATCCTCTGATAACTTGCGAGGGGCAAAGCCCCAAGGAAATAAGTTCAGGTGAAGCGATTCCATAAGCCTCGGCAAAGCAGAGATGACATCACTCCAAGGCCCAAACCACAGAAGTTTAGTGGCAGTGCCCTGCCCTGCCCTGCCGTCGACTGCCAGATGGTATCACAGTTGATGTAACTGCCTCCAGATTTCCGGGCCGTGGGTTTAATAACTGCTCAACAGCGGTTAATGTGAGTCTACATCAAGCCTCTTAGGCAGCGACTGGGCCACCGGGACACGGAGCCGCCCTGCGGAGGGAGGTGCTGCTTACCTGTTGCGCGCGCTCGGCCCCAGGCGCTGGCAGGCCACGGTGGTGGTGGCGTGCTTCCCGCCGTTGCCCACCTCCTGCTTCACGTCCCACTGCCGGGGCTCGCTGGTCTCAGCGCTCAAGATGTTCACCCCCTTCTTCACCTTGGCTCTGTGGGGATAAAGATGGTCAAGAGAGAGCCACAGGATTAAAGACTTGGCCTTTCCTAGTGTGCCCGAGCTCCGCTAAGTGGCTACCCTTAGTTTCTGTTTTGTTTTCCCACTTTTTCATATCCAGTGACCCAGACCGACAAAGCCGCCAGCTAGTGGTGATGCTGGGGACTGGAGGGATGGGAATGGGAGGGGGATCTTCCCACAGACTAGAGAATCATGGAACTTGCTGTCCAGATCTGAGAATGAGGGAAAGGAGCCCCTGGACTTTCACTAGCCTGAGGGGCCATACAGCAGCGTGATCGAGCGCACACACTCAGCCTGCCTGGGCTACTCATTCTGAATTGGGGGGTATTTGTGTCTTGCAAGGGACACTTAGCAATGTCTGAAGACAGTTTTGGTTATCACAATTTGGGGGGAGTTGTCATCTAGTTGGTAGAGGCTAGGAATGAAGTTAAACAGCCCACAGTGCACAGGACAGGCCCTTACAACACGTAATTATCCAGGGCAAGTGTCAGTAGTACCCAGGTTGTGAAACTCTGGTCTAGGTTTACACCCTAACTCCCCACTTTCTAGCTGTGTCCCCTAACTTCCCCACTTTCTGCTGTGTACCCTAACTTCCCCACTTTCTAGCTGTGTACCCTAACTTCCCCATTTTCTAGCTATGTGACTTTTGGCAGGTTATAACCCCTTTGTGCCTCACTTTCCTCATTATAAAGCAGCCCTTTGTAATTGAGATGATTAAATATATTGACTCATAGGAAGAGATTAGAACAGTGTCGGGCATATACTATGCACTC